GATTAACGAATTAAGGGGATACTAATGCTATAAGGCCGCAGGCTAATCGACTATAAGAATATGTGCGATATAAGAGTGTGAGGCCATATGGCTACCTATGCGTATAGATAATATCTTGAGGATGTGAGTGTGGGTGCGCTGCCTCTATTCATTGAAATCCCGCACCCGCACCCACCCACACCCACACCCTGGGGTACACAATCAAGATGGTCAGATCTTCTGAAAAATAGGGAAAATTTCTGAATTTTGAAGATGTTTCTGATTTTTTTCTGATCTTCTGATTTTTTCTGAATTTGGAATATATTCAGATCCTGCTTTGCCACTGAAATTAGGTACGATTACAACCCATTACTATAATAAATCAATAGTGCTTCATCAATTTTCTCTATTAATCCTCTTTTATATTTCTCGTTCGAATTCTGGCGTCGAATTGATTTTCGATCATATAAAGCATTTATAGTCCGATTATCGTAATCCGATAATATAAAACCAGATAATGCTTAACTTAAAATAAAAATGAATGGTAATTATTCATGAGAAGGTTTTATTAGCATACGTTATCATAAGCAAACTTCCTAGAGCAAATTCAAAAAGATACAAAATATGAATAACAATACTGAAATGATGGGATTTAACGGTTTTTTTCTCATTGAACTTCTTAATCTACGCAGAATGTATTTGATTTAGTTTTGCTCGTTTTTGTGAACGAGTTTTAAATTTAAAACGAAGCTCAACATTAAGTATCTTTAATGATATTTTCTTATTAGCTAAACGATATATTCACTATATTGTCTTTCGTTTTATTGAAATATCTTTGAAAATAAAGTTCCAGTCAATGAGCAGAAACGCAGCAGAACTTTGGATGTCAGTATTTTAGCGGCAGATGTACTAATTTGCCAACAACTGCTATATTTTGATTGTTTTCTGATTTTGAAAAAATATTTTCTGATTTTTCAATTTTTGATCTGGCCACCCTGCATACAACCAAAATATGATACAGTCCATCAAATCCACACTATCTACAATCGATATTATGAGATTAATCAGTTCAGTGCTCGTTGTGATATTTGATCGGTATCAATGGATTTGAAAAGTTTTTCTTCGTGTGTTGAAACTGACTGCAACGGTATGCACAATTTCATGAATTCAAATTTTAAACCATGAAGATATAGGCCACTTTGTGTTTTATTGTTTTTTTTTCTTAGGTTTATTCGAAGTGTGACAGATAGTAGACTTAGTCGCATGAAGCAGAACGAAAAGCATACATACCTATCTGACGAATATGGTACACTTTATGCCACACTGAAAAAAATAAATACCCTACCGAACGTCTTTTGGAACGAATTCGAAATTTTCGAAGGGTTTACATAAAAACCTTTGATCCGTTCAAAGTAGTTGTCATCGATAGAAAAGTCTTTTTTTAAAGGGTCGGTAATGTGACCAATTTATTTTCAGTGTGTTATAGCGGCGTAACCAGGATTTTCAGACCATTGGGCAAACTTCTATTAAGCCAAAACAAAAACATAGGCAAAATTGGCAGGATTTTTATTAATAGGCCAAAATTTGTTAACCCAACAAAGTATTGATAACGTAGAAAAAACACAAAAAAGAATAAAATGATGTTCATTTAACTACACAAAAAATATGGGATTCTTTTAACCTAATATATATGAATAGAAACTCAGATTTTAAGCTTGTCTCAGACTTGCTCAGCTAGACATATTTAATTCTATCTTCAGTCTCTATTTATAACATTTCGTTTTGAAATTCAAACATCAAAATCAAGACGACGATTATATATTTTTACATATAATTTCAATGTTTCAAAGAAAAGTGATAACTTAATAACGTATTGCCACTGGCGGATCTACCATTACAGTCAACCGCCGAGGACCACTCCCTCACGAAATTTTCTTCGATTTTTTCCAGCAGAAATGAAATAGAAAAGATTTCTACTGCCTCAAATAGGCTGCAAAAACCACTTTTTAATCAGGAGTGCGACCCCCTTACTGATTTTCTGGATCCGCCACTGTGTATTGGGTCGTTTTCCAGTTGGCATGGCTTAGTATTAGTCTTTTAAAACAGGACAAAAGAGAACACCAAAATTATAAGTGTAGGTACGCAATTTTATACGTATAAGTATACTTTTTTTTCTTTTTTCTTTAGACTTTTCTTATACTATAGTAGCGTGAAAGAAGAGACAACGCGGTAAACTGGACGAGATAGGTTATAGTTCAATCGTTTTCTTTTCATGTCAGCATTTTGAGAGCAGATAAAAGAAAAGAACAAGTATACATATAGATATGTATGTACACTTGTGCATTGGTCATATTTGTTGTTCTGTTTTCTTCTATAAATTCTTCATAAGAACAAGTAAAGGGTACATTTGGGATTCAAACGAAAAAAAGACAGTAGCTAGTTTATTCAAAAGTAAATAATTGTGAAAAAGTAAAATTTCAATGGGCAAGGCTCAAAATGAAATAGGCGTTTGCCCATTTGCCTCCCCCTGGTTACGCCGCTTGCGTGTTAAATTTATCAAGGATAAAACAGATGTGTCTGTGTGCTCTGCACCCTTATAATGTCCTCCATATCCTATGGTATCTCCTGGATTCTCTGGACCCCGATGGGGATCCGAATGATACATTGGGAATCCAGAGGATACTGGGATGCGCTTTTTCTCCCTTGAGCAAATCTCTCCGTTCACCCTTCCGCTCATAAAAATAGAGTGATCATTAACTTTGTGAAGTTTTTCATATAAGAAGAGAGTTTACCATCACTGTATTTGAATGTGCAAGTTTTATAAAGTACGTAGATGCATGGACAATTTGAGAATCTGAAAATCATGACATGAGATTATTTTTCTATTGTAAAAGAACGCTGAATGTGAGCAAAATTAGCCGAACTAGTTAATTTCAGTGCTAAACCTGATGTAGATACTAAGATTTCCGTATTTAATTGGTATTTAGTATTATTCAAAGTGACAAAGTTACTATTTGCACAAAACAAAAATATATAAATTATTTTCAATATGCTATAATCCTACAAATCTAGTTTTTTCGATGCACCATACTTACATACTTTCTTGCCAAAAATGGCGACTTCATGCAATGCATAAAATTCTACAAATGAATAAACCAAAAGGACAATTGGTGTCATAATGAAATGGAATAAATTTCGTGGAAAGAAGATACATTCTGAAACATTCAATAGTTTCGGTATGAATATATCGATGATGAATGCTATTGAAAATGTTAACATTTGTAAAATAAACAGACCATACATGATACAGGAAATAACTATGGGAACACCTTTCACCAGCAAAAACATCGATATTGTTGTTGTTAGACCAAATAAACCACCAGTACATAGTAGAATACCATAATAAATAATAAAAGAAATACCCCAAGAACATGCAGCTGTTCTTGGCATACGCCTTGATTTAGCTATAAAATAATGAAATACTTCAGCTGCTCCAATTGTCCAACGGCGTGCTTGTCGGGCCCATTCTATGATTTCTTTTTCAATTGTATCTCATGATGTAGGTCCACTCAATACTGGTACAGGTATCATCGATATTCGTAATCGTCGTTGCATTACACCCATCCATCGAATGAGACAGATGATGTTGTCCATTTGATAGCCTGGATGAACAAAATCTCCTTTCTTTGCCAGACTTAACGAGAATGAAAAAATGCTCATGGTATTAATTAATATTGAACGGAATCAGAGCACCTAACATGAGAAAACTTCTTAATAGACCAGTTACACGAGTGGCAAACGATAGACTATCTAATTTCCAATTGTAAAACAAAGGCAATTGATAGATTGTACTTAATGCCGGTCGATTCTCTTTCAAATATTTGCTACTCAATGCAGCTATGTATTGAGGTGGAAATTTAGACTCAGCATCACAAGTTGTAACTAAAATATTGTCCATTTCGTCGTCAGTAATATCTATTTCTTTAATGGCAGTACGAAGACCATAATTTGAATTTGAACATTTACCCGGTATTTCATTTTCCATACCATATGGATGAATTGTAAATATCATTCGTTCGAAACCACACTTTTCAAACATTTCGTTTAAAATTTCGCATTTCTTTTCTTTGTCTGGTGTTTTCTGCTCAAATGAAATGACCATTGTTATTCGATGAACTAATGTTTGATCTGCCATTGTTTGAATACTTCTAGCAATCAAGTCCACTGGTTCTTTATAGCAACTAATGGCAACAATATGACGAATGGGGGCTTTTTCGTTATCAACATAATCTCTAGCGAAATCACGAGAACGATTCCAATATAGAATCACAGCATTTTTCAAAGCCAATATAGAAATAACTACAAATAAATGAGAGTTGATTTTCCAGAACAAAATGAAAACATACGGAAGAATTCTAGACATACTGGTCCACATGAAAACGAATACACCTTGAATAGATGGTAATAGATAGTAAGCAATCGTATTCGAAACAAAAGGTATCCGAAATGGAAGTGGTACAATCAACCAAACTAGAACATTGAATAAAAGATTCCAGCGGAATCTCTGACTACCTGTTTTCATGTCTCGATGCGAACTTTGACCAGTTTCAACAACAGTATGAGGTAATTTATGTGGAGTAATCATAGTATGAGTCTTTTCATCTTTTAGCTTCAATATAACAGGAGTGGTCACCAGTGTTTCTGATCTCTGTATAGTCTGTGACACATGTGATCAAAAACCATTCTTCATTGATTTCTGATCATGCCCGACAAGCCCTAGAAAATCTTTATTGGTCGACAATGGAATTGTTTTCATTGTATCGTCTTCTTTACATAGATAGGCATAGTTTTGATGTCCTTGTTCACTTAAGAATCTTCGCAGTATTCTTGAATTTGGTGCCGTCATTGTATGAGTATTATTATGTATGATGGAAGTCTAACTATTTATATTTACTTTATATACCTTATCAGTAGAATAGTTATGAATACGTGAATGTGAAGTTGGTTTCTAAGAAAAATATTCTACTTCCTTCGTGGATGTCCCGTCACATAGAATATAATCATGAAATCTTTTATTTGAAAATGTCATCAATATGAAAAACAAGTATAATCTCCTTTAAGCTGGAATTTAGATTAATCAAAGAATCAGATATATGCTTTGTATTGACTGTGCGTCATTTATTGCAGCTTTATGATTTGGTGAGTAGGCGCCAATCGACAATCTAATGCGTTATAAAAAGTCAGACTTTTTCGCTAACAACAGAACATTTAAAAACGTCTAACCTTGAAACAACTATTCCTGATAATTTTCAAGGCATATAAAAGTCATGACATTCTGAGTGTCTCCTATTCAGAATAGCATTATTTTTAGCGGTAGACAGGGACGCGTCTCACGAAGATTAAAGAGATATCCCAGCGAAATTCAACTAATGTTATAATGATTCCAATTAATTATGAACGATTTCTGCCAAATTATTACATATCGAGAACAAGAATTTCGGATGACATCACGAGAATGGTGGACAACAGAGGCGGAGACGGGATGGAATGTGACTGTAGGTAAATGTTAGGTGTGATCCTCGGTATGCAACACCAATATTAAATATCGGGTGCAGTGCTCATCGTTATTGTTGATGAGAATTTTGATTCAATCATGCAGATAGAAATTGTATTCTCTATCCGATTCAACTTTCTCACAGCATTACTTATCATTTCTTTTTGTAATATTCTTGTCTTGTTGCAGTTTAACTATTCATTGAGATATTTGTCTGTTTTTCGGTACCCTCAATTACATTAATTCTCTGTGCGTTCGCTCAGCTTGAGTAAACGTTATCTTAATCGAATGGGTTTTCATTTTAGATTGTTTTAACATAAATTTCAAATCAATGAATATGCTCATGATATGGAAATTACTGCTGTGGCTGCAACTAATGGTAAATTTTTAGATTTGATTTATTGATGAAGATCTCTTATATGCAATACATTTCACAACTGCTGATAGTTTATCTTGTAGTATCATAGATTCATTTCAGCGTCCCGTTTTACACAAATATTTTTTTTCTAGATCATCGAGTCAATTACTTTCGAGATTGGGAGAGAAGTGCGCCAGACTATTTTGTTTTTCGGAAATTTCAGTCACAATAAAGTCAGTAATGTCAATACATCTGTAAAAACTAAACAATTTCGAAGCAAGAATGAAATATGCCTGAGAGAATGCCCTGGTCCTAGCTTTTTTTCCTAAGAATTGAACTACTTTTGAGTAAAATTTCTTTCTTTTCACGACCAACAACATATATCCTCATCTTTGAAATAAAGCATGTAAAATACAAATTTGTCATTTCATAGATATTTCAAACAATGGGAACACCACTTAATCAATTAAATAGCGTTGCTGGAAGTTACACTCCAATCTTCGAGAAAAAATTGATTGAAAAAGATCGTGCAGATGGATACTGGATTGAAACTTTTCAAGTAGACAGCAAAGGTCCTGTTGGATTGATTGCCTTTGGACTTGGTAGTGGAGATTTAAACCTATATCAAAATTTATCCGCAATTCAAGAACCAGTAAAAGGTATTTTTATTCAAAATTTTTCGGTTCCTGTAGCCATAGATCAGGCTGATATAACAAACGATGGCTTCAACGACGTTATTGTCTGTTATAAATACGGCGAAACAATGTTAGACACGGATCCCGAAGGAGGATTAATCGAATGGCTGGAAAATCCTGGTCTAACTACCGATAACAAACCATGGAAATCGCATTATGTTGGGAAATCCACAGCTATGCATCGACTTAGAGTTGGCCATTTTACACAAACAGAACGTTGGGAAATCATAGGTTTCCCTGTTGTCAGCAGACCATATGATTTATATTCACCAGTACCTGTATTCTTATTTCGACAACCTGATAATGTGTTGAATGCTACAGAATGGCCTCATGAACTGATTCGCGGGGACTATTTTAGTTTAATTCATGATTCAGTACGAATCAATGATGGCCAACTGGATAGTATTTTAATTGCATCAAACGAAGGCATCAATTTGCTATATTTTGATCAAAATTTAAACGAGTGGATAATAAAACATATTGGGGACGGTGAAAAAGATCAAAAACAACAAATAGGATTTCATGGCAGTGGCGGTATGCATATAGGACGCATAAAAAATGATCCCTTTGCCTATATTCCTGCCATCGAACCTTTTCATGGAAATGTAATTTCTGTCTATGTCAAAGATACGAATAGTTCTTTGAGAGAAAGTCAATGGAAAAGATATATACTGGATGTTTATGGATATCCTAACGAAAACGGCGAAAGTTCAGGCCATTATGTCGTTTGTGCTGACTTTGACAAAGATGGAGACGATGAATTTTTAGTTTCACATCGTGGACCACCTCCAAATCAAGGTGTCTTCTTCTATAAGCCTATCGATATTTCTCGTGGTTTATTTGCTAAATGGAAGATTAGCGACGATTCAGTTGCTAGAATTGCTATAGCTGATTTTGATAATGATAATGCAATTGACTTCGCAACAATTACCTACACTGTTAAAGGTTATTATGAAGCACCAAATCCTTCCATTGACATATTTTATAATCGATTCGCTCAAAAGCAACTACAAGTTGAAAAAGAGATACAGGTGACGAAGCAGAATAATGATCTTCTATTCAAAGTTCCAAGACCACATAAAGCATTACAATATGAAGAATTACCATTTCTCACCATCAATGGATTAAATTTATCATTAGCAATTGTACCACCTCATAGTTCACGTTCAGTGGACCAAAGTACCTATATCAAAGTTCTTTCTGGCACTATTATGTGGAGGGACTCTGGAAAAGGGGAGCATCCACCCGTTGAACATTCACGTGTAGCTTTCACTGAACCCAGAACCATCGCGTCTCTTGACATACACAGTGATAATCCGAGAGTAAGAACTGGAGATGACGGTGCTCTTTTAATTGTATTCAAGACACGTGATAACGTGAATGGTATTCAACTAGTCGAAGATATAAACAAATTAATTCTTGAAAACTCGTTACCGGAATACTCTCCTGAAGATGCTCGTCAATTTAGTTTTCAATTTCACCGATACGATAAATATGACTCAAGACCACAATTCAAAGATCTCGAATTTTATAATATGAAAGGTATCAGGATAGACTTTCTGGATAATAATGAAAACCTGTGCTACATGCAATTCTGGGCTGCTGGACAAGGAGTTAATGCTGGTGTACATAATCATGCAACAGATACATTTTGTGAAATTCACGTATGTCTTATCAATGGAAGCGGAAAAGGAGGCATGCACTATCTTAGTAGTTCTAAAGAAGCATACGATCCACTTACTACACTGGATTCAGCATTCAAACAGTTACCATTACCAGCCTTTTACGAGCATGGCCCTCTATGGGACATCGATGCACAAAATAAACCAGTTGTGCGAAGTAATGGCACTGTAGTGTATCCTTGGCACAAATGGCAAGCGGGTATAGATACATCATTGAGTCAATCGTTTGATATTTGGGTAGTTTTTGAATTCAACAATCGAATGTCGGCACTGCCTTTCACTAGTGCATCAAGCCAACGATCCATTCCAAACATGCTTAATGCAGTTTTTGCAATACTCCTCATTTGCATTCACTCTGAACTCCTACACGAGTTAGACTATTTTGAAAAAGGCCATTTGAATTGATAGTTAGTTATAATCGGTTTTCGTCCTTGCTTCAAAGGTTTGTAAGTTTGCTTAACTTAATCTAGATTTTCGAAATAAAATCTAAAATACAAGGATGTGTCTTTAATGCTACAAAATAAAGAGTATGGGGACATGGGTGGGAGAGGGGGCGGGTAATGTTTACAACCAGATTCTTGTCTCACATGCATTTCTCGCGGTTTTGTAATGAGTTATAATGCTTTCAATATGGTGTTGTATCCACATATTTCGAACAAGACTGTCTTATCTAATAGACTAATAGACGAGAAAATCTTTTCGGTCACCAGAGGATTGTTCTTGTTGTAACTCTATAGGAAGTTGTAAAACAATACCCAATCAGATAATAAAGAGTATACGATGAAGTCGACGACTAGGGATGCTAATTTATATTGATTAATCTTTACAATAAAGGGTGTGGGTGTCGACGAGATCTTAATGTGTACCAAATGAAGATCACACCAACAACCACACCCATACGCATACAAACACCCTCGATACATTTGCTATTGGTAGAGCAGACAAGATGGTAATTACAGCTGGTAGAACTGAATAAATGATTGATGAAAATCGTTGAACTTGCTTGTTAATTTTTCTCGTTCCTTTTTGAGTAGTTTAATGCGATTATGAGCCGATGATTCAAGTCCTAGTAAAAGTGCAATCGTTCATCCGTTAACGTAATGCACGAATGCTTTTTTAGATCATTTAATTGATCGGATTTGAGTTGGAGTATAGCACCCAGTGAAAACTTGTTAATTATATGAGGGTGTGGGTGTGGGTGTGTTCAATTGAAAAGTCGTATACACCCCACACTCACACCCTCACTCGAAAAATACTGGAATGAACCAACGAGGGTCAGCAAGTTTATTTTTCAATCATAAACACACGGTGAGTATAGGTTCGACAAGGGCTACTAACCTAGCATGATTACTTGTCATTGAATGAAGTTAAAGTTTCAGATCTAGGGATGGCCCATTTGTTTTTAACAGAACCTAATTAATGACTTTTCATTAACCATTAATATCAATGATCAATGAGGTATAACTTATATACCTCTATCAGTCCTATATAGGGATAGTATCAATACTTCTCTAATAGAACGCACCAGTGCCAGTTAACTGTGTATACCAATCAGACTGGGCACCCAGTCCAACTATGTATATGTATATGATCGATATATGAATTATTGAATCATGAAATAGTTTTCTGTGTATTAGTACATTACAATTATCTACTTCAAGTATTCTTAAGATAGTGAAGAAAGAGAGACGACATAGCAGACAATTAGTTTTTTGGGTAATCGGTTTTTTCCTCTATTGTAGAGACGAAACATTGACATTATTTTTCGTGCAAGTTTGACCTTGTTATTTTCGCGTAGCTTTTTTCTTCTTCTCATCATTTCAAGCTCATTTTTTGCTTTTATTTAATATTCAATGAAAGAAAAGGATTAAAATTTACACAATTAAGCAAAATACCAATGGCTTGGTGTGTACTTCTGACGTCAAGGGGTCTGATTAACAACTTGTATAATAGAGAGCAGACTATCCTTTTTACGAAGAATTTAATCTTTTTGTTGAATCAAACTCGATGACAGTCGAAAATGCCATATGTCTCACCTCTTCGATCTGAGAAAATCAAGATGAGACTTCGCTTATTTTATAAAGCAACCAACTTCAAAGCTAAGAACGAGTCGAAGATGATGACGCCAAGCGTTCATCTTTTGTACAAGTGCTACTGCCTGTTGCGCTAATTGTTCATACGATGTTAGAGTTGGATTGAGCCTTCGAATGAGTTAATAAGAAATGAAACTAAATAAATAATGGAATTTCCGTTCTCTTGCATTCGGTGTCATGGAATACAGTAAAAGCGTGATTCAGAGGTGTCGTATTAGCATAAACTCTTTGGGTAATTTATTTAATTCGATATAGAATTAAAAAGTCTTTAAGATCATTTTGTAACGTCATCTGCCAATAGAAGGATCTATCCCGAAAAAAATGTTTGTTACTATCAAATGTGTTTTAGAATGAAATAATATACATAACACACTATTTTTTATCATTTTTAAACACAATTAAATTCTAGTTAAGACGGATCGATTTTTCCAAATAATTTCATTGGTTGTCTGTACTATATCAAACTATGTACATCGTATTATCGTTTAAATATATATATATATATATATATATATATACTAGTGTAATTGGATCGATCACAACATATCCATCATTTCACATCGCCTATTCTATATTCAATATGTAAGGCACTTTTTCTTTGGGTTCATATCGTTCTTTGTATTTGAATTCTATACTATTCTTCTAGTTATCTAACAATGTTAAACGAAGAATATTCAAATAAAACTGAAAAACGAAAAACAAGCAAAAAATCGACTTATGAAAAAAAGATGAAAACAAAGAAATGCAATTGCCGTAGTGGATGTTCAAAACGTTCTTGTTATTGCAATAAATCTAATCGTGGATGTGATTCCTCATGTGGATGTGGCTCATCTTGTCGAAATTTATTCAATCATCTTGATTATTTCTTCGGTGAAGATAGTAAATGTACTGCACATCCTTGCTTTGTCGATTGGCTTGTAAAAAATGTTAAAACTGCTGACGGATTACAAAATATCGACCGTGAAGCATTACAACGAAAGATAATGAACTGTGGCAGGTAACTATTTAATGTATAGACATTGAACTAATAACAATAATATTCTATGTCATATTTAGATTTTCAGAATTATCAGATGATGAAGATTTTCAAAAGTGGTCGAAAAAATGGAATCGAATTGAAGTCAATGAAAAATTAGGTCACATGCAAAAATTCTTTCGAATGCTTCTATCAGATGATGCAACAGAGCATTATTATTCATTCTGTAATAATGATCTTGCAGAAGATGATTGCGATTGGCATTGTACTCTTTGTAAAACATGTCGCGATTGGCGTGAATGGCATTGTGACGGTTGTAATAAATGTATGTATTAGGATCATTTTCTGAATATAGTAATAATAGAAATATTTTTCAGGTGCATATGGTACAACTTTACCATGTCAACGATGTGAAAGAAAAGATCAAATGTTTAGTTTTTGGTAGAACATAGAAGAAGATTTATCTATTTATTTATTTATTGTTTATTGATGTCTCATTTGTTTTTTATTATGTTGAAAATTTTATCTTGTATTTGTATATATACTGAAAGAGTGTGTTTGTAAAGTTGAAATAAAAATATATCTTGAACTAGAGTTAAATATCTTTGATTTGCCGTCTAATGTTCTAGAATGTTTTCCTATCTTACCCAGAGAAAGATATTTTATAAACATGCTTGTTTAGAAAATTTTCAAATTATGATATCGTAGATGTTTTATTCAGTGTGGAGATGAAGATAGAGACACCGCCGAAGATCGAATCGGCTCTCCAAGGGTTGACGACTTTTATGCCAACTATTGCGTGTTTGTCTTGCCGGTAAAGTATCGCCCTTCCATAAAAGCAACGCTAAAAACAAGCTACAACAGATAAGCCAATATTACATTGAACACACTCATATCTTGTCATAGTATTTCATACTATAAATATGTGAAATCTTAGTCTCATCAGAAATTTTGTCTTTTTAAAACGTCGGCTAATTTTTACGGATTCGTTTTTATCACACGATTTGAAAGGATCATCTTTCCGAACGAAAAGAACTTCACATGTGCCTACAACTAATTGACAATCTTCTGGAGGCTCAATAATACCAGCTTCAGCTTCATATCCGAATATTCACAATAGTCATCAGTTGTCTGATTGTCTACAAATTTCTAATCGAAAAGTTTTGCTTTCAACTTACTAAAAGGATTGTTAGATGATGCGTATGCTTGAGAAGTGAAAAGAAACAAGATGATTATCAGTTGATATTCAAAGCGAGTCATGTTAATAAATGAATGAAAGTTATTTGGAATGATATATCAGAAATACAACCAGCTGTCTTACGTATACATGTTTTTGTATTTTGAAACAGTAGCTTTCAAAACCACATTGTGCCGATGTAATGATTATTTATGTATTTTTTTCTTTGAAATCACATTGTAGGAACGAATATTATTTTCAAAAATTTGAATTCAGTATCTGAGAATACAATAGAAAGGCTTATTTCAAATGTGATTGCAATAGTTTTGTTTCGTAAATACGAAAAAGAGCGATCTACTTCGTACCTATATTGATTCTGATTTAAATTGTTATTAAATTAAAAATTTCGCTGGAAAAAAGTCGTAGATTGCTTCTCAGATTTTTCATCATATTTTAACTCCAAAATTTTAGCTAAGTTTTCATTTTATGATAGTAAAAACAAAATGCATAGCTATGCTGAGAGAGATACATTAAAATTAACAACAAAAAATAATCGATTCTGATTTCACTTACGAAAGATTTTTACCCCTAAGTTTTCAGAATAACTATTTTGTTTAGAAGAAAATAGACAACGATGTGCAATGAACTGAGGGTGTGGGTGTGACTGTTATCAAAAAAAGCAACACTCATCAACAACTCATACCCTCAAGATTTTCTATAATCTTAATAAAATTTCAGGAAAATGGTAATTCAAGATTAATTACTGAAATGATTCAATGTTTAAATTTTCTTCTTCTTCTTCTTCTTCTTCATGATTCTCATCGTTCCTTTGAAGTTCTTTTTGATTGAACAATTGAACATATTAAATCTTATTCATTATCAATAGGAAATACTCAAATAATTTTGTTAGTTTGTCAAATTATTAATGGATATGATACGTCTCATGAAACATTAAAATCATTTCAATATTCTAAAATATTATTAAAATGTCTTGAATATGAACCAAATATGTATCGTCTTATTTATTTTACTGCTAATTATTTATCATCACAATATCGTATAGATATTCTAAATATTATTTGTCAAACATATACAGATAATATTGAACAAGGAATTGAATGTATTATGGAATTAATTAATAGAATGAAGAAATATAAAACAAAAAATTCTTTTCAAATTAGCCAATAAAGATTATTCTCAGTCAGAAAGTCGAATTGTTGTTGCGAAATTAGCTGTTCAGCAAGGAAAATCTTGATGAATTGATTGAAAATGAAATATTTTTTGGTTATCTTCGAAAATTAAACGATAATTATTCACCGGAATCTATTGTTTTTGATTTACTTAATATTTACTGTCAAAAAATATCAATCAAAATGATGATAATCAGCAAAATTTACCTATCAAACAAACAAATTATTTCCTGGATCGATATCAATAGCAGAGAAAATTTATAAAACTCTTGTTAAGAAAGTTATACTCTTGTTTGAATCATCATCCAATGAAAATAATCAATAAGTTATCGTTATGCGAGTCAATATTTTTCTGTGTTCAAGTAGAATATTCGAATTAGATGTCCAACCATACATCACTCATGACACACACAGTACGAAGCCAATGCTAGTTATTATGATTATTGAAAATCATAGAATGTTGAGATTCTGAACAGACGGTTGCTAGTGCAATCTGTGCGGGATTCAAATGTAATACATGATGTAGCTACTGTTGCTTAGCTTATGTGAAGATTATTTTATCCTATCTATTTTGACGAGAGAGCTACGGGCTTGAAAATTTAGCTTTTGGTGAGTCCCCATCTATATCTAAGTTTAAAACCGGTCTAGATTGAGCTATGGATCGAAATATGTAACAATTGAAGTCAACAAATATTGTTTTCTTTGTTATTTTTCAAGGTTTCTTGTTCCCTTTTATCTCTATAATTTACAAAAGTCATTTCAAATGTCAAAAATAATAAATACAACTAAAACTATTCCATAGAGTTGAAGATTTTGGTTTTACTGTTGGTTTGAAAATTCTCAATGGCGACATTTTTTATCAATAAATTGTTCAATTTCGTTTTTGGTTAACATAGTTTGCTTTTAAATAATCGAAAAATTTCAATTTAATGACCATTTATTAGTGAAAATGTAAAGCTATGTACTTTTATATGTTCACGTACACAGAGAGTGCACTATATATTGGCGAAAAAAAGATCGGATTTATAGACCCAGCCGGGTTTGGGTTCAAAAAAAACATCAACCCACAGCTCTCTAATTTTGGAACATATTTGTCAAGTGTTTTTCCACTTAAACTGAGAGATTTTCAAGGACTGAGCAATAGGAATTCAATAAATGTTTTAAAAACTCTTATTCAATTATTTCTATGTCAAGAATCATTTGATCAAAAATATTTCCCAATATTTTTAAACATAAAAATTTTCTTGAACAACTTTCATCATCATCAAATCGTTCAATATTAGTTGCAACAGATGCAAAAGCTATTTTGTCACAAGCATAAAAATTGGAACAAATAATGAGTTTATGAGATCATTAAATCAATTTTATTTTATCCCGTTACAAGAAGAGTGCGAGCTAGTTTAGATTTGTTTTTAATTTTAGAAATAAATATTCTGTTTGTCTTCTAGACAATTGAACCACAAATATATGACGAAGGTGATCGAATTTATGATCCAGTTTATTTAATACCTGCCTTTTATCATTCACTTGGTCCAGGTAAAATGGTTGAAAATTTTAATTATAATCTTTATTTAAGAGATAACTCTCAAGTTTCCAGCATTCACTTATTGAGTTAAAGGACCTCAAAATTTAGCCGGAAGAGAAAGGTGGTGAATTACCTATAGACATGTCGATTACACGAATCGACATCACATTTCATTGATAATTAAGGATACCGTCAATTAGTATATCTAATCTCTTTGCTTCATGAGAAAGCTGAAAACTTTATCGGAACCACAGATTCACATATCGTTTCAGTCCACAACCACAAAAATCAATGTTGTTTTCCCTGAACTGCTATTGAATTTTTAATTACTCGTAGATCTAGTCGACACATTTAGGATAGTCAAGATTTCTAGAGAAGTAATCATAGATATAATTCTAAATATTAACATAAATGGAAACTTTTCTTTTTTGAATTCTTCTTTTTCACATAATGCATCTATATTATATCTATAATGTTTCAATCAAGAATTTTTATTATGAGCTTAAAAATTTTAAATTAATATTTATTGTAGAATGCGTAGTAAAATTTCAACAATTTGTTGAAAAACATTCTCTTGTCTACTGTCTTATGACATTAAGTTCGCGATGGAGTTTATTACGAGATGCTGTTTAGAACTTTCTTGCTCGTTTTGAACAACATTTAATATCACAAAGATTTTATTGTAAAGAACTAATATTAACAATGCTCACATCATTAAGACAACATATTAAGAAATCGAATTTAAAATTACCACCCACTGCTGCATTATTTCTATCAAAATTAGTTAATTTATTTACTCATCCAGGTACTATTCGTCTTTTATTGTATTTCAAAAAAAGAGATTTGTTTTTATATCAAATATTTAGAATAAAAATGTTTCGAACGATAACAAGATTTCTTCTTAAACAACTATACATCCATCTTGTTCATATTCGACTATTTAGTGAATTATTTCACAGTTCAACAATTGATGAGTGTGGGTGTGGTTGTGTCTGTGAATTAAGAGAATCACAACACCTCCACCCCACACCCTCACATCCTATTCTCTGTTTGGATTCGCCTGTAGAGTAGGGTTGTGTCTTTCTTTCCGACTTCCTTTACTCTCACCTACATTTACACCCACACCTACAGAAAATACTCGAATCCGGTGTTAACATTACTTATGTCTATGAAAAATTTTGATTTGTCCTATGACAACTTTTAATTCTTCTGAATTTTAATTTCTATTGCAACCGCCTAAAATGTTTTTTTTTCTCATTTATAACAAATAGAATTCATGGGATCACTGTTCGAATGTTTTTATGTTTATCACACATTGAATGTATCGTAACACCGGTAGGCCAAAAATTCTTCACTAAATTGGACAGGACCCACCGTTTACCGTTACAGGAGTAGATGTCTAATTCGAGCTCGGAGATATATAGAAAAACCGGCGCTTCCATGTTATTTTACGAAAAGAGCAAAGTAAAAAGTTTCATTTATAAGTTTTGTACGGGTGTGGATGCGTGTCTGAATAGGTCTGTGGCTGTGGCTCCCTATTTGAATGTTTCCCTTGTTCTAACACTCCAAATCACCCATGCTTAACGCCAGCAGCACACACCACCAATGAAATTGTTTTACGCCGTATTTATGGATTGCAACAGAATAGGTCAAAAAGAAAAAAATAGTGACTCAATGTGAGTATTGTGCAATAACTTACACACATGCTATTGTGTATTCACCAAAAACGGTGATAGGATGTCGTCTAGCTTCGAAACACTACCCGATGAGATTCTCATGATTATTATTCGATATTCTGGCAATTTTTATTCCATTTTTCGTACATTTTGCGGTTTAAATCAACGTCTCAATCGAATTCTTATCGATCGGCGATTACATCTTTTGACTGATTTTCTTTGTATCGATAATCACACTGCTGATGCTGCTGAGTATTACAACTCCCCATTGTTTCGTGTGATACTACAAAAAGTATGTTCATTACGTAGTCATGAGCTTGATACTGAACTGCGTTCGTGTTTTCAACAGTTAGTATCATTTCATATTCATGGAAAATATAGACAACTTGAACATGAATTTATATCGAGTCGCGAACGGTTTCAATCAATACGTGCCAATCTTCATCCTGATGAAATAGATCTTCAAGATTCGACATTAAAGAAAACATTCAATGAATTTAACTCTACTTCATCACAACTCGAAATAGTTCATCGTTTGAGAACTCTTGTTCTACAAACGGGTGCTCGTCTTGCACCCTATAGTGCACAAGGAGCATTCAATCTAGCAGTTGCCATTAATCGATATTTATTGGCTTATTCAAGTACTCTTCGGGATTCACATCGATCGCACGCTCATTCCATCGTAGAAATGTTCAAAGCATTGATTATCTCAAATCCAAATCTTGTACACAACGTAGATGATGGTGACAGAAGCGGTCCAATATATCTCCTTTTAATTGATGGAATTTATCGACTAAAATCTTTCTATTCTTCTTCATCAGCAATTTCGATCAATGTACGAAGATATCAAGCGATAATAGAATTATTACTATTTGTTATTCATTGTTTAAGACACGTCTTCAATAGAACGTTTTCGTTAATCAGTGATCTTCTGAATAATTTTCAATGCATGAATTCAATTGACAATGATATCGATAAACAAATAATAATTGAAACAAGTCAAATAGAAATATGCAACATTCTATTCGAAGAATTTTCTCGCAAAGAATTAGTTCTCGATGAATATTGGGATCATGCACCATTAGAACGTGGATTAAAAAACTTGATGGTAACAAGTCGAGTTGATGCTATCCTATCCGTCGGTCATCAGGAAAAATTCTTACAAGTGTTTTTTCAATGCTCAGATCATGGTGTCAGATTGCTTAATATGATGACGAGAAATCGAACAGGAAGATTATTATTTCAGCGACTATTAGATGAAAAACATCTGAAGTCATGGTTTGCAAATATCAAATTATTATTCATTCTTCTAGATAAAAAGGAACGTAAATTAATCAAGAAACTATTACGGTTAATACCAGCATTAGTTCAAGAAATCGATGATGATAGCAATGATGCATTACTGTATATTTGTCTTAAAGTAGCTGGCTGTCGACATAAGCTAGTTGCATTTTTAATTCAGGTGGGATGCGATGTACATCGAAAAAATATTCATGGTGAACATTTTTTTCAAGCTTTACAACTAAGAAAAAATAGAACGTTACTTGAAAGATTAATTGAACATGAAATAATCGTCAAGGATGATGAAACTGGACTGTTTCAAGTGACTTTCGGAGAGGGTTAATTATTTTTACTTACTTACTGTGATTTAAAGATGATCGAAATGTCAATGCAGTATCATTTTTCTCATCACTTTGTAACAGTTCTGTGTATAGATCATTTTTTTCTTTTGTGCAAAAAAAGAAAAATCATTCACACAAAATTTGATTTTTCTAAAGCAGGATCAATCCTTGAATCATATTATTCATGTCGAGTCTTCTCATTGTATTTAATGTTAGTGCCGATATTCTATAGGTGCTGACAAAACTTGAATATAAAACAGTTAATTTTCACCATTCATTAGGAAAACAATTATTGATCATGGTTTATCTTACATGGAAATTATTTTTTCTCACAAATGAATCATACAGAAGCACTGAACTTTGTGTATAAGGTTATATCATTGGTTGAAAGCCTACATACAATGAAATCCATTTTATATAGTTTTTCCTTTTTGGAAAACAGCATCTATGAAGCTGTGACTATAGCTATGATGTTTAATTAAAAAGCATCTCTTTTAAGAGGCTACGATTTTGCACATGAATCCCAAAAATAGTCGACATTCATTGTTTGAACATGAACTAAAGTCACAAGTCAAAAAACATAATTCTTCCTCCTGATTCCGCTACAATCAACCACCGACGCTTTTCATCAATGACAGAAGCATAAGGTGTCCAGCTAGTTGAAGCTGATAGTGGAATTGTATAACCTGCTATTAGAGTACCATTTGATGCATAACGATTAACTTGGGGTGAAAAAGGATCAGCCATTGTAACTAATAGATCAGGATCAGAAGAAGCCGAAGACGGATAAAGAGTAATAAGCAGATCGACTAGACGCTGTTGTGTTTCTAATTTTATCACTGCAAGTTGCCTACCATCATTAGTTAGCTGATAGACACATGCACACTCAGTATCGGATATATAAACAACTCCGTCATCTCTCACTTTAACGTCATAAACATATTGTAATGGTGGTGTCGTCTGATAATTTTGTATTATCGTTCCATTAATTAATAACTTAATCACACGAACATTACCACTATCAGCAACATACAGATCACCTTGTAAATCTATAGCTATACCATGAGGATTTTTCAGTGGCGGATTGTTTGTATAAATTCTGCCAAGTTCAGTACCATTTGATGCAAACATATGAATGTAACCGTATGGAATATTACCATCTGTAACATATATTTGATTTTTAGTATCCACAGCTAAACCTACTGGGAAATCGAAATGAGGTTTTGGATTAATAATTTGTGTAACATTAGCAGATGAATTCGTGATGGTAAGCTTTTTTAAAATATTGTAGCCGATATCATCAGTTAAACTATTGACATAAATGTCTCCACTATTAAGAAGTGCCACTAAACGTGGTGCAATTAATACTGGATCATGGCTAGAATAAATTTGCAATACTTTAGCGGATACAACATCGAATAAAACTAGTCGATTATTTAAAGTATCAGATAAAAGTAAACTAGCATAAGGTGCAAACGTAAGACCTTGTGGATTATATAGACTATTAGTATATGTGCGAATCAATGTACCATTTGATGTCAAAGCAATTATACAATTCGTAGCCATGTCAGCAACATAGACATTTAGATTGACATCAACTATTACTGCTGTTGGTCGATATATATTACTGTTTATATAGACTTGAAGTTGTCTGCCAGTTTGTGAATTAATGACAAATATTCTGCCAGTCGTTGAATCATTTCTATCAGCAATATATAATCGTTCTGCTGTTTTGTCCATAGTTAACGCTGTCGGTTGACTAAGTGGTGGTGAAAAATTTGATGCATTGAATTTATTAATTTGTTCACCATTTTTATTTAAAACATAGATAGATGTATCCGTTGTGTCTGTAGTTGCTACGTAAATATCGCCATTGATAGGCGAAATAGTCAATGCTGTAGGAACATAAAAGGATAAAGAAATATTTTTAATTAGTTGGTAATCAGTAGTTCTATATTTATATATCATTGCTAATGAGCTATAAGCACCCGTTGCAACATATAAATAACCAGCTAAATCTATCGTTAACTTCAGTGATGAATACAATTTCGATTGCTCAAGAGGTAAATCAAGTGTAGATATGTAAATAGCTTCAGGTGATAAGTGTAATATTCGATTGAATGACATATCAACCATGAATATATGTTGATTTATTGGAGATATAACAATATTAGCAGGAGTCCAATATGAAAGTAGACGAGATGGATAATGTATATCAATACCCAATATAGGGAATGCTAACATGGACAGAATAAGAATAATTAAAACCATTCTATCGGATATTCGACATGAATGTCAATCGGTGCTAATATAGACAGCCACTCATTACAGATAAACGTGAGTAAATTATCAAAATCTAAATTATCGAAATAGTAATAGTTGCCTTATGTTTCTTGTTTGACAAAAACAAAATATTTGAAATCATCAAACAAGAATGTCAAAACTGCTTTTGAAAATGGTCTTATGGGTGAATCTTAATCGGACGTTTTGCTTACTAATAGTATCAAAACTTGCTCATGAATGTGTGTGTGTAATATATTAACGGAAAACATAAATGCACAAATGATAAGCATAAGACTATTTCGAAGCACAATACATACCATCAGCTTTTCGTGACTGGGAACTTTGACCAGATGCTTTGTAATAAATGTTTTTTTTCAAACTCGGGTAGAATAGCCGTTGTGCTATGAGTAGGGGTATGACAGTTCAGTTTTAATTTCTATCAAAAGAACTGTTCAATCAGATCAGATCAGATCCCATAAGAAAGGGTGTGAAGGTGTAGACTCTTTTTTTTTCTCCACACCGACCCACGCCACACCCACACCCTCAAGATATTAGATAACCTGAATATTTATATTCTGGTACCCAATTGATTTTCTCTTTAGAACCAGAATTAAAATGAATATCAAATTTAGGATGACCAATAGCACGTGCAGTAGATAAAGCTTGAGTCTTATATGTATTAATAGGTTGATCAGTTAAGTACGAATAATATTCAAGATGATCAATAAAAATTTTAATACGTTTTTCTAAATCCAAACATTGATAAGAGTATTTAATACCAAGTTGACCAGCAACAATTACAGCTAAATCATCAGCAAATAGGTGACTAGTACAGCTAGATAAAGAACTACCCAAATCACAATTATAGGTTTTAAATAAAGTAGGTGATAAAACACTACCTTGAGGACAGCCTTTATCAATATTAAACCACCTAGATCTAGTTTCATTAATTTCTATAAAACTTCTTCTATCAAGTAACCATACATATATCCAGTTTAAATAAGCTGGAGGAATACCTAAACAACGAAGTTTACCAATACAACCGTCAAACCATAACTGATCAAAAGCTGTACGAAAATCAACAAAAATAGTACTAATAGGACTACTATTTGACATTAAACTACGTAAATCTTCAAGGAAAAGTAATAGACGAGTTTGTAAAGGAAAATTTTCTCTAAAACTAGATTGACTATCAGGTAAAAGTCCTCTTCGAAAAAGAACATTACGAAATCGTGTAAGAAAGAGTTTCTCACCAACTTTTTGAAAAGAATCTAGAAGAGAAATAGGATGAGTTAAAGATGGTGGACAGATGTGTTCTTTTTTCGCTAATAAAATTATGCGAGTATCTTTCCATGCAGTAGGTAAATGTTAGGTCCTTCTCCTTTGTTTACTCCTTTCAATCCTTGTTTTTTACAAAAAACAAACAACTGAATTCAAAAACAAAAAAACAACAAAATATACTTTTTCTTTCTCTCTCTCTTCCACCAGTTGGTTCCATCTCATAACTATGATAGAGGGATAAAGATGGCCGTCTTATGTTAGGAGATGTCTCTACTGACATAACACTTCTCCCTCCAAAAGATTACAAAGTAATGATGAAATACGAGACTGGAACGATTCGAACACCAAGAGGAGGATAAAAAACCGAAAAGACATAGCAAGAGAAAAATGAAAGAGAAAAAAAACAGACCTTAGCTGCTGATTAAGAATAAACAATGTTTATGATACGATCTGATTGAGTGCTGAATGTAATGGCTGATTAATTACTGGATTCGGTGTGTGAGCATATGGTGATTAAATATAGTCTTTTGAGTATTAAGTGAATATATTCCTATAGATTAATATTATGACATTGAAAAGTTCTTAAAATATTGATTATATCTTAAACAATATGTGACATCAACATTATACGCTGGCTTCAAATAATCAATTGTTACACGACTAATGACACAAATAGAGTTGCCATAATATGATGTATCTTGGCCATTCTAACGTAGAGCTCCCAATCGAATGAAACCAGCATCAAATCCACTAATTATATTCACATTTATTTATACACAATAAAATATCAATGACAACGGGGGGACATAACTGAGTGTGCTCTTTTCTCAATAGTACATACGTATATATCTCAAGATATTTTATCTCAAATAAATATCTTATTTGTCTTTCGTAGTGTTCACACAAAATTTAATGTCTACCATCTATGTAATGAGGGTACGGGTACGAGCGTGACTGTTCGTACAAATAAAGAACAGATTAAGACCCACACCCCTCAAATATTTACCTGTGACGTATGCCCTTTTTTATCCTACTTTAACTAATCAGTTTTGTGAAACATGATCTGAAAGGAGTGTTGAAGTATATAGGGTAGAAATTTGGACCCCTCCCCGCGCCCCCCCCCCNTTAATTAATTATTAAATTTCTCTGTAACGGCCTGCGATGGTTTCTAGAGACTTCATACATCATAATACAGACCATCAGTGACCGTGATAGACGAATTCCAGAAAAGAAGTTTCATTGTGTTTCACATTTTAATCCCACAGGGATTGCGCTAACAGGTTTTTTTTAAAGCAACAGCGAATCCAGATATTTCATTTTTTTCCTGTCTTAAAGTATATTTTTCTTTGCTTGGACACTGTTTTCTACTAGTCGCTGAAGAATGCAAACACGTATCTTTACTGATAAGCATCGAGCTGATAAAAAGAGACCTTTCTAAATAATACATGAAAAGAAGCTCTATTCTATTGTGACTGCAATGTAGATAGACGTCTTTGAAAACAGATGAGTTCTAGTACATCAGTTTTTTTTGTAAGTTTTTGCATATTGTCTCACCGATGATCACCGTTTTCGTCATTTTCTCAGTAAAAATAGTAATTACAATCAAAGAATCTCTATATATCACCGTTTAAACTGAATAAAAAGAAAAAAATCACCGTCTTTTCAATGCTTTATTTTTATACCCAGTGGTGTATTTAATGATTTTGAACGATTCTTAGATGAGTAGAAAGGTGTCATCCAATTTGTATTTGTTGCTACTAGCCATATGTGCTTATGTGGTAACGAGTACTTTTGTGACCTTCGGTTTCATCGGTCAACTATTCTATTGGCTCTTATTCGAGTCATTTGGTCGAAACAAAAAAGCAATCAAATGCATATCCGACAACTCTAAAGGGGACACCGACAAGGTATACTACACAATTATCGTTGGGGCTGGCTTTTCGGGTCTTGGCATGGCTGTGAAATTAAATGAACTCGGTCAGGACGACTATGTAATCTTGGAAAGGCGGTCCCATCTCGGTGGTACATGGTACGATAATCGATATCCAGGTTGTGCATGTGACATTCCATCAACATTGTATTCATTTTCGTTTGAACCCAATCCAAACTGGTCCCATTTCTTCGCTCGTCAAGCAGAGATTGAAGCATACCTAGAATATTGTGCAGATAAATATCATGTTCGTCAGCATATTCAATTCGAGACCACTGTTATTGATTGTAAGTGGCTGGATGATCGACAACTTTGGCAAGTAACCGTACAGTCGAACGATCAAGAGAAACATTTCTTCGGTCGAACTCTGGTATCGGGTTGTGGCGGTCTGTCAAATGCGTCATTTCCTACCAATATTCCTGGTATTGATTCTTTTGAAGGAAAAATGTGTCATTCAGCTCAATGGGACACGAAAATCGATTTCAACAAAAAACGTGTAGCTGTCGTAGGAACTGGCGCAAGTGCCATACAGATAGTGCCAGAAATCTACAAGATGAATACATCTGAACTGATCGTTTTTCAACGTACACCACCGTGGATAATTCCACGCATTGACCGACAAGTGACACAATGGGAAAAACGACTCTTTGCACGATTTCCGAGCTTGCAAAAACTGATTCGTGGTATCATATATTGGGCAGCTGAATCGGCTGTACTCTCTTTTGTCTATCGTTGGCCCACTCGGCACGTTTTTCAAGCGCTGGTACATTTTAACCTTAAGCAACAAGTCAAAGATGAAGTATTTCGGAAGAAACTCACACCAACATGGGATCTTGGCTGTAAACGAGTGCTCATATCGAATGATTGGTATTCAACATTACAAAAGCAAAATGTAACAGTTGTGACCGATCAAATTCGAGAAGTGAAACAGCATTCAATAGTTACTTCCGACAACGTTGAATATCCAGTTGACATAATAATTTGGGCTACTGGATTTCAAGTGCAAAAAATTCCGTTGTCCATGATGGGAATGAATGGACGTTCACTTCACGAACAATGGCGAGAAACTATGCAGGTTTGCATCTTGACTATGTGTGAAAGAAATGTTTGTTGTTTCGTGTTAGGCATATCGCGGAGTAACAGTGGTCAACTTTCCAAATTTGTTTTTTTTACTAGGCCCTAATTCGGCCATTGGTCACAATTCCGGTGTATTTCTTATCGAAACTCAGTTAAATTACATTGTTGAAGCGCTTGTTTTCATGAGTCAGAATGGGATTAAATCGATTTCAGTCAAACAAAATGTTCATGATCGATACAACAAAGAACTACAAGCAAAACTAAAGACAACAGTTTGGCAACTCGGCGGATGTCATTCTTGGTATCAAGACGCTAAAGGAAATAATAATACAGTGTGGCCAGGTTTTACCTGGACTTACTATTTGCTGCTGCGAAATTTCGATTACAATAACTATAATATATACTGAAGCGATGGTAACACTTACTTCCTATTTTGTGGGTGTCTGTGTTTGTATTACATCCATGTCCATGCCCCACTGATTTATTTATAAACAGTAACTATAATCAATATTGTGTTCAAGTATATTATAAATATTGAAGCTGCAATAAAAAGCAAAAAAAAATCAAATGTAACTAATAAATTTTTAATCTCTATACATCTATTTACAATGGAAAATCTGATTTCAGCTGTTTCCCCTTGGGAAAATTCAATAAAATGAGTCATCGATTCTAATGACTAAAAATTAAAAAGAAAAGAAAAAAACGGACGACATTGAAAAATTCCAGTAGCAAAAAGAAATGGAAATTAAGTTTTTCCCAGTGATTGAAATATATAAAGAGCAATTGAAAGATGGAATCTCAAAACATTAAATTGTTGTATCAGATACACAAAATATTTCTCGTCGAATTATATTTTCTATCAAATTTTTCTACGATAGTTAATTCAATTAATTATCTCGCATTTTAGCGGTAAGGCTATGCTAAAGATTTATCTTTATATTATTAAATCGATATTATTCATCGGTCTGATGTTAAGTTCATCTTCAAGATTTGATTTTAAAATATGTAAATTTTTTGTTAACTTGGAAAAAATCAACTTGATTTTTTATTTCCATCAAAGATTTTGGAATTTATTTGCGTTCGATCAGTTTCAGTTAGAAATCTTCTATAGAAACAATTTCAAATATAATCAAAAAGAAAGTAGGAAGAAAAAGAAACCTGATCTTTTATTAAAGAGCCCGATTGTATATTGACATTTCAATTTTTTTCTTACCAATAAAGAGAAAATAAAAACAAAAAGAGTCGTTCAATAAATTGATAGTTTTTAAATATGAATCCATCAAAACAGGCTCTGTTTAGACGATAATCAATGAGACTTTTCCTGTTGTGTTAATTGATAGTTACTCCGATCTTTGAATACTTTAATAATAAAAGAATATTTAACATTTCTTATGTTGTTATTTTGCAGTCGAAAAAGGCAAAACTCTAAAAAAGAGAAGTTTTTTCGAGTGTAAAATTATTTGAAATCCAATGCAAGGTAATTCAAATAAATCCACAAACCGATTAAAATTGTCAATCAGAGTAAAGATCTTTTTATATTTAACAAATTTTAGATAAAGTTTGTCTTATTTGTTCACATTGTAAAACAAAAAAAACAAAATCACAGTAACATTCTTTTCGTATAAAGAACTATTTTCAATAAGTTAGTTTTTATCATATATTCATGTCAGTGTGTTCGGCCGGCCGTTCGTTTAGACGATAACTCTAGAAAATATGAACCGATTGTCAAGAGACTTTCTGCATAAAAATTGATATACTGCAAATGAAACTATGAGAAAACTTATGATTGGCATAGATCTGTAAGTATGACATCATCAAGATTGTTGAAATTCACTCAATAGTCGAATAATGAATTTCGTTTGATTCATATTCGGAGTAACTTTTTTTTGTAAAAAATTCTGCGAAAATTCGATTACGTGAAATGATTTTTTTCTACTAAAGATATTGTGTCAGTTCGTGTGAGATGAATTCAACATGTGCGAAACACAAATACCAAAAAAAAAAATTCTCAAATCTTGCAGCGAGAACAATTCTTGAATAAGAAAACTTCTAAATTACTGTTCTTCTTATAAAAACATGAAGAATAAGGTAGAAAACAACTTTTCATCATTGTTTGCAATTTTAAATAAAGAAAAAAACACATCCAATTAGAATCTGTTCCATAACAAGAAATCAATGTCTTTATTTTCTACTAGTAGAATTGAACTCAATCGGCATATATGATGTACGGATACATCGTTTAACCCTTCCCACATCTATCCAACAGTTAAATGATGCGGATGCGATGAAATTTTTGAAAAATAACTTTCTCATATAAATAAAACACGAAACTCAATGTTCATCATATGAAATGAAAAGACACAATTTCAGTTTCGAAAATTAAAAATCATCCTTTTAAAGTTCGATATGAAATTGATCACTAATAGAATTTCATAATAATAAATTCGACTTATCAAAAAAAAGCAAATAAAAAAAATTATTTTTGTGAAATATGAAGAAAATCATCGATGTTAACTTGTGAAACTTTCAATAATCGACTTCGAAATTTGATCATCAAGCTAAAATTCGTTTCTGGAGAATTGAAATTTGAAAATTTCTTTTTATCAAAGAGGAGAAAATCATCGTTGTCGAAATTGTCAATCTTTTGAAAAAACATTTCTATTTCTGAACATATTAATATTAGAATCCAGAAAGGGCTTTTCAAATGTGTGGGTGTGGGTGGGTTTAGGTGTGTGTGTGTAGTTCTTCACTGAACTCACACCACCACTCACACCTATACCCACACCCACACCCGAAAAGGAACTGGTTATATGGAACAGTTTCCGAGAAAGAACTGGTCGTATTAAACAGTTCCTGATAAAGAACCGGTTCAAAGAACTGTGAACTGTCCTATGCCTATTCAGAAACATAGTCTGAGACTGCGGTGTAGGTGTGTGTTGTGGTGATATTCTGACGGATATTAAACACCTACGCTCACACCCTTCTGTGTATCAGGACACAATTATAAAAAAATTTTCGACGTCAGAAGTCACTCAACCTACATGAAATTTAAAAATAGAAACTTCGATCAGTATAAATGAAAACAACGTGAAATTGTTTATCTCTATTGTCATTTAATCAGCATCGTCTGTATCATACGTCACGTATTGTTGCTTTTGTAGATCTCCCGCTTTGATTTCCTGTTTATGTTCAGGATCGTTTTCTTCCTCGTCGTCTGTACTGACGAACTCGAACAAATATTTAGCATTATTATCGAGAGTTTGCTTGATCTCGCTAATCATTGATGAATAAACACTATGTGAGTTACAGCAATACTTGTGACTAGTTGTCCAATGATTCGTTTGGCATGGTTTGCCACAATAAAGAGCTATCATACAGCGAGCACATTTCATCAGCTTCAGCTCGTTTTCACTACCCACTACCTTTTTACAATTCCAACAATGAGCTGGTTCCAGTGGTTTATAGTGCAATGGATAACGGTTTTTGTCTAAAAGATGAGCTATTATTTGAGCGTCGCTTGATTTCGCCCATGGACGGAGAGGAATATGCTCGTTGATTTCGCTTGACATTGTTGTGAGTAATATTTGGAGAGAAGTGGGGAAGACTTGTACTTTCTTAAAACTTTTATCAATACTGACGCCTAGACTCGAATTTTGTCGACTGGCAAAATGGATGCATACTGTGTGTCCCTGTTTGAGGAGACCGTAATCGAACATTGTGCTCCCTGCTAGGCTGTTCCAGAAATCAATGGATATATTGTTCTTTCCTTCGCTATCGCGCACCAAAATTCGATGACGAGCCTTGTTATTGAGAGCATCAATCGAGTTTGTGATTTCGCCGAGAAAAAACCAGGCTCGAATTGGCAAATAAGTGTCGAAGCAGGCTTCTCGGTAATAGGTTCGCAAATGAGGTTCGTGTCCCGCAATCGGAAGTTCATTGTAGCAGGGATATAAATTGCGATTGGTAAACACAACATCGCGCACTTTGTCTGACAGTTTCGCGAGCATACTCTTTCCAGTGCTGATTTTTCTGTTGGTAGATGGACGCATTGCTTGTATCATGCGTATCGTAAGCGCTCTTGCTTCAACAGACTCGACATTCGCGCTGTCTAGCATCATCGTCGCTTATTTATTGAACACGCTTACACCAAGTTAACGTTGACTTGCACTATAACTTACGAATTCAGGTTAAAAAGCCTTTTCTTTTCATTTCATGTTTTTTTTTCTTTTTGTTACTTACTTTCATTCATATAAATCATTCAAATGTATAGAACGAGAATGCCAAAGCAAGACGAGGATGCGATAAACAGCAGACTCTATTGTTTCATAAAGAGAAAAAACATTTCTCGGTGCAACCGGCGATGCTAGTCGTGATTGAAAACATGCCACTGTCACGCCGCTGTAATAGAAAAACGAAGCTATTGCGCCGTGTTAATAGAAAGGGTGTGGGTGTGGGTGGTTGAGTGAAGGAGAGATCTACACCCACACCCAAGAATTTCTTATGCTCTATCGAATGGTATATTTTGATTAACTTGATGTCGACGCGTTCTCCTGAATTTTCGAAAAAATCCTAGAATTTGTTTTGTAAAATCAGATTTTTTATCTTACTGAAAATGGTCCCGAAAATCTCCAAATACTGTTTTCGTGTACTCAAAAAGTGAGTACACTACTAAAATCTGTCAGTGTGTCCGTCCGTCCGTCCGTTTATTCGATAACTCTTCACAATTACATTCGATTGATTTAAAATTTTGTGCACACAATTGTCTTATCAATATCTAGGTCGAGTTCGAAGATGAGAAGGATTCGTCAAGAAATGACTGAGTTATCGAAAAAATTGTCATTTTTTATCAGACTATCCCTGAGGG